TCTGTTAGATATGCATTATCTAGTAATTCTCTTAATGATATTTGAGGTGTTTGGTATGTGCATTGGCTTCTGCCTACATTTCCTGAATCATGCCAGTTATCAATAGCATAGTTTACTCACGCTGTTATTGGGTAATTGGTTGAATCTTTCAGATTGTTTAACTCATTTTGATTTGCTATTACTCTGAAGTAACAATTCACATTTGGGTTTGTTGTTAATAGTCTTCTAGCTGTTCCATGTAATTTTGTATATATTACTGATTTTATTCTTTTAAAGAATTTCATGTTCCAGTATGCTTTTGGCAAGTCTGCTCCTGAATCATAATCAGGTTGCTGCATGGTATATCCTAAGTCTGGGTTTCCACTAAATTTTCCAAATATGGTTAGTGTATTATCCATGCCCATTTCAGTAAATTTTATTTCTAATTCATTTCTCTATTGAATGTATTCTGCTGTTTCTTCGTTGAAATTTCTAATTCCATATAATGATTTTAGGTTTGGAAATCTTACTTCTGGTTGTGCCATTTTTAATATATTTGTAGTTTTATTATCTTGGCGTTTCTCAGATAATCTTGTATTCTTGTTTCAGCAATTCCTGATTGCTGTACTGCTAGATTATATGTTGAGTAATCTTGTAGTTCGTGACTATAAATTATTAGACAAGATAATTCTTCTTCAGATATTGTTCTTATGAATCTATGTCTTCTTGGCACTTTTACTTTTATTGTATATGGTGCTGGAGTAGTATCTGGTGCTATTGTTATAGATACTCTTGTTAATTTTTCTTCTTCGATTATCTCTGTAACTTCTTGTCCTACTTCTTGTAGTTTAGTTAATAGTTTTTCTTTTGCTTTCTTAAGTTCTTCTTTTTCTAGAGAAGATAATTCTTTTGATTCGTATTTATAATAATATGCTAGGAAGGTTGAATAATATGTTTGGCTTCCTTTATCACAAGTAAACATTAGAGTTTGTTTTTTTTAATTCCTTTTTCTCGGATTTTTGATCCTATTTCTACAATGAGTTCGTTTGGTTCTTGTAGTTCAATTGCTAACTTCTGTAGCTTGATAAGGTTTTCTGTTTGGATTATATTTGTTTTAAGTTGTTTTTTCCAGGTTTCTAATAAGAATTTCTTTACTGGATAATCCTTTGGTATTCTAACTTTTGGTTCTTTGACTTCTTGGTTTACTTCTTTAGTATATTTAGGTTCTTCTTTTGGTTGTAATAATTCAAGCACTAATCCTTTGTATGGTTCTTTAGTTATGTACTTGTTTATTAAAGTGTTGCTGTTATTTCTTTTACTTGATTAGCAATATTTTCGTTTTCTTTTTCTTTATCGTGTCTTGCTAATTCGTTTCTTTTGCTCTTTATACAAAAGATTATGATAAAGGTTGTTATTCCTAATACTATAATTAATGTTACTATTACTGCTACTATAACTATGACATTTTGGTCTTGAAAGAATGCTAGATTCTCAGTTGTGAATAGTAATGTTGTTGCAGTTGTAGTTTGAATAGTTGTTGCTGTTACTATTAATGTTGGTGTTGGTATAGTTATTTGTATAGCAGTATTTGCCATTAATATGCTGTTCCAAATTGTTGATTAATTAGTCCTATGTTTGGTATTGCTGTTCTTGTTGCTT